TAGCTGCACTGATGTGCAGCTACCCCCGCTTTCATACAATACATTCACATGCTCTGGGGGCCTCTGGGGTGTGTTGGCATGCGTTGGCATCCTCCATACCATTGGATACTATTGGAACATCTTGGAACCACCTGGAACCTATACGACCCTATACGAACCGTCCTGGATTCTCCTTGGTGTGCCCTGCCCCCAGTACCTGAAATGCATAGCTGCACTGATGTGCAGCTACCCCCGCTTTCATACAATACATCAGGCATTGATGAGAATTGCAGACAGGTTCGAACAGAGGGGAAGGTTCAATGTTCAAATATTTCTTGTTGCTTCCAAATTGCTCTTCATATTTGCTTCGAAAATTAAACGCAACAAACTTCAAAGGTCTTCAAAGCATCGTGGAAAAAATGCGCAGCCGTCCTGTTTTCAAAGCTTCGAAATTTCGTGAGATTGCAGCCTTGGCAAAGAGAACGACTGGAAATTGCTTTGGACTCATTGATCCTGTGGCCAGATATCGAAAGAAGCCGTGGAAATCAATGGAAGGGCATTAGGGCATCGTCAGTTTTTGAGGTTGAAACAACATAGTCCCCCCTTACTTTCATACATTTCCAGTGTTTTACAGAAACCACCTAGTCCCACCTATATTTTATACATTTGATATTGCCTCATCTCATCCAGATTACTGCAGTAAATGAACATGGTCCCCCCTATGTTTCATGCATCTTAAGATTTTTAACTTGCAATGAATTAATAGTTCCCAGTAGCAGCTCACCCCCCAGAAGAATACATTTTTGGGGTTTCCCAAATATTGTTTTGTGCTGGTGCAAGGCAGGTCCCCCCCCCATGTCTCATTCAATCAAAAAGAATAATGTATGAACCTTCTTGACACCTCTTTCTGTCGCCGGGCTTGACCACCTGCCCCCCCTGTTCATACAGTTGATGGAAATGTATGAAGGTGGGGGGTGGATACATACGGAAGGCACGGGGGTAATCTATGGGTGAGATAGTATCAGTGGAATCTCATGGGAACTTATGGGGTATGATAATTAAATATAGTTAATGCAGCCAGTCAATGAATAATTCCTTGTTCAACGAGGGGCCAAGCTTACGAATGAAATTTCCCTACAGCATGATAGTAACAGGTAGTTCACCATAGCAATAGAGAAACATGGGCTGAATATGATTTAAATGGCGGCCGAGAATAGGTCAACATACTGTAGCAATTTCAATAGGGCAAAACATTAAAAACAATGGGTAGACAATCAGGATAAGCAATGACAAAACATAATGATAAGACGCCATATGAATTCAATAATTTTCAGACACCCAGAAGTTACACTTTTGGTCCTAAAGGGTCCCTTCCCTAAAGTTTTTAAAGGTCACAGTCCGGACAGAGTTCTATCTTGGGCACGTTTTCTCACTGGAAGGTGATTTGTGGACTTTTGAAACATTGGAAGATGAGTTCAATGGCATGAAGTTAGATGATGGCCATGATTATCTATGAATGGCCATGATTGCGCAAATCCAGCTGCACAACGGATGATTTGGTATATGTATGGATATGATTGATTTTCGGGCTGGGTTTGTGAAACGCCCAATGAACGTTCAAGTTCGCCCTGGTCCGCTATGCTAACATAGAAGATTCTAACCATCTTCGGTGAGAACTGGGGTCCTAGATGTGCTAGGGAGCAAACTATACCATTAAACCATTACACAAAATAACATATGATGGCAATGGAGCGTCTGACATTTATGGACAATATACGGACGATTTTTCCCCTGGAAACAGCCCTAGATATACCCTCTGGCAAACTAACAAAGGCAACATTTTTGATAGGTAATCAACTATCAATGTCCATTTTCAATGGCAAACTGTAACAAATTACCAGAGGGTATATCCCATCAATATCCCATCAAAGTATTCCCATGAAAATCCCGTTAAATTACTATAAATGTTAGTATTTCGCTAATTTTCCCATCCCCATTTTTTCCTCATCCTTCAGCTGTGGGGCTCGCGGGTCGCAAAAATCGATGTCGATGTCGGAGATTAGCACCAAGCGTTCCTCGAAACGAAACACACGGACAACGGACGTTCCGTGGGGAAAAGCGGAGAGAAAAAACATGGCAAAATCCATGAAAAGTGGAGGAATTCCATGAAAATCTATGAAAAGTGGAGGTTTTTGATGGTTTCTATATATATTTTATGTGAGGAAAAAAACGCATTTGTAAATGGAGTGGGCACTCAAAAAAATGGAGGTTTTGATAGGAAATTTATCTACAAATGGAGGTTTCGTTCGCTCGGAAAATCATTGAAGTAAGGATTTACCATGAAAACTGGGGATTGAACTGATGGAAAGGTGGGAGATGACAAAAACAAACGAGCTCCGCATCCATGCAGCTGTAGGTTCTTCAGATATATGTCCGTGGTCTGGGAGGAAACAACATACTATTTGACTGGGATGCTGCGACCAGCATAGGGGATGGTTGTTTGAAGCTCTTGTCACGACCACCCACACTTGTTTATTATTAGTTCCACTGTGAAAACATTTTTTTCCATGGGAGCTTTTGATCACAGTACCCAGTGGTGAACCATTTTTGTTTTGAACATTCCCACTTGTAGATTGTGTACATGATGCGGCTGCGAAAAAAATAACACCTTCCATGGATTTTCGGATTTTCCATGTTGTTCCGATGAAAGTCCAATGCTCAATGGTGAGATTTTTGTGATTTCTTGTCCTTTCGTTTTTTTCGCCCAGGTTTGCAGTTGCACAAGCAGACGCGCTTATGCAAATTCTTCACCATGGGCGCATGCACCCGTGGGGAGAAATGTGCTTTTGCCCATGGGCCGGAGCATCTACGAATCTGGGACTTGGAAATTTGAAAAAAAACCTGGGCCAACAATAGTTACAGGATGTTACAGGATGTTACAGCGATTAATTGGATGGGTAAGTTGATCTATAACTACGGTAGAAAAAATCTACCCATGATTTATACTGGATATAACCTGTATACAATATATGTATGCTATACCCTGAGGATCTATGCATGCATATAGGTGCAAAATGGACATGTATGCCACGTATGCAACATTTTGACTACATTTTTCTATTGTTGGTACTATTTCTGAACATTGTCGGATAAGCCCTGTCGGAACCCTATTTTTGTTGGAATTATTGTCGGGACCCTGGATATTGTGCATGGTTTGAATAGAACCCAAACCCACTGTATTCAGCTGGAGCGTGACAAACCGTGACATACCGTGACAATATCTCATTTTCCCTCTTAAAACTATCACATTATCGGAAAACAGCGTGACAAACCATGACACACGCTGACATACATTTTTCTGGAACCATAAGTTTGGAGGTAGCCATCTTGGAGTTATGGAAGAACCATCAAAGTTATAGAATATCATTATGCACCAAATGTCATCAACATTTGATGTCGGATGACAAATAGGACCGTCGGGAGGCCCCACAGCCTACATCCCGCAAAGAATGCACATAGACCAGACGATGGATCTACAGAGATAAATAGATAGAGGGATCACGAGATATCACAGGTATAGAGGCCGTTTGTCAAACATAGCTGGCTGGAGATTATAGGATTTTAAGAACAATCATCTTGAAATACCTATGGTTTGGTTCTATTGGTACCAGTCTGCCAGTCTTGCTTGAGGGTAGTTTCCATTGCGCTGGCATGTTTGCATGATGGGTGATTTTGGCGGGAATCCGAATTGTAGGAAGCAAAGGAAGTGAAGAGGCGTGAAAAGAGTTCACTCACATGGAAGCCAGAGCCAACAAATTGGCTTCGATGATTTCATATTTCTCCACCTGATGTTTAGAATATGTTAAGGATTAATTGAAAGGCTGTCTCTATCTATTTGTCTCCATTCTCAAAGCATGGTACCCAACGCAACCATGGAGCTATAAGCCTGCCAGAGGTCGACAATCAGGGATGCCGTACCCCATGTTCATGGGAAACATCTCCAATGTGTGTTTGTGAAAGTTAAACCTATGGGCACCCTCTGGTAATCAAACATAGCTACTGGACATTACCATTGTAAATCATCTATACATGGAAAATGCATTTGATTTCCCTGGAAAACTTCCACCCATTCGTGCACCAGTTTGGGATGAGTTCGGAGGGGTCACAATCATTTAATCCACCCTTTCCTGGTGAATCTTGATGGGGATGGTGTATGTTTTTCTAGGCTTACCATGGCTTAGAAGTAAAGACCCATCAAAACACACAAATTCCCCATGATCCTCCAAAATGGTGATGGAGAGAATGGAGAGAGATATCCCAAAAAGGGACCCATAGATCCCCCAATGGCGTAACCGGCGATCTATGGCTATGGTGAAGTCCAGGGCTGGGGCTTGGTCGAGGCCAACAGCCTGACTTCAGCAAGACCCGGCTCTGTGCCGAGTTCATGGAGTCGGGCAGCTGTGCCCAGGGCCGCAAATGCGTCTTGGCGGAAGGGTTACGTAAGGTTTTTTTTCCTGAGTTTACTGGATTTCATTTGATTTTGCTGTGATTTATAGAATGTGAATTGGATTTAATGGGAAATAGGATGTAGCCGCTCTCCCGAACCCTGGAATGATGGTGCGGATTCGGGGAATTATCTTAATATACTGTAGATTTCAGGTTAGTGAATTATTACAATTCATCCAAATATCCCAAATAGATTTGGACACCCCACCATTTTGTAGACATTGTCCACTGGAAACCGTCGGTGTTCAACATCTATGTTAGTTTAATTACCCCAGGGTGTGATTTGGATATATTTGTATTGATTCACCAATACAAATTGGAATTTAAGATGATTAAAATTAACACACAACTCGATTTTAAGATGGTTTGACCAACAACAATGGCGACCTAAGATGATTAAAGTAGCAACACCTGGTTCTGAGGTTATTTAACCAACAAAGATGGCAAATTGATATGTTTTTGCCAACCAAAATGAGGCAAGATGGTTGAACAACAACACGTGGGCTTGAAAATAGTTCAGGCAACAAGAATGTGGGAGAGCTATGTGTTAAATGATAAATGTGCACTTCGTCGAACGGACTAGTGAATGGGGTGTGTTAATGAGTTTCATATTAGTTACATATTAGATCCGTATTAGTTACATATTAGTTACATATTAGCTGCATTACACTAGTTACATCACGTTTTCATCGGTCCTGAATGTGGACATGCATATGTATGCTCAGTACAGATACTGCATAGATAATATGTATGCATAATGCCCACCTAAGAACATGCGCTTAACATGTTGGTTCTTAGCGGCTGCGCTTGACATAACCATGATTTGCATGCCTTCAGCTCCCAGGACAGGACGGGGAAAATGAACGGACACCCATATACACATATAATCATATATATATATTTATATATACATATAAATACACATATGATACTATTATATATATATATCATATGTAATATGCATATATATATATATATCATATATATATCATATATAAGTATAGATTATTTTACTGTAAAAGCTAGCCATGGTTTCCAGCTGCTGTCAGGTTTTCCTTCAGACCAATCCATTGATCATATCACATATTGCCCATCTAACAGCCATGCTGAACCCATCTCATTAATTTAAAACGATTGAACGACATTGGACGATCATATTATATATTCAATAATTCCCGGAAAACATGTGTATGACCATATATCTTCTAGTTAAAACACTAGTGAAATCCTAGTGAAATCTTCATAAATCATCAAAAATCAGCCATTTTGACTGAAATCGACCGCCACATTCGGCTTGAGGTAACTTCGCACATGGCAAGCGCGAGCTACGCCCAGGCTCTGCCGCCAAGATTGGTCGACCTGCCAGCGGGCCACTTGGAGTCGACACCGGGGAAAACGGCACGACTGGATGATCCAAGGGATGGGAAAGGGCCCCCTATATGGATCAGTGGTTTATGATCCATATATCATCTATATAATCCCATATACAAATATATATATATACTGTATATATTATATATATATATAATATATTATATATATAGATATATATATATATATATAGATATACACATATAACTGGGGTATAAGCCATTTACTAAGTGGGACGCACCCCCAAGTAGGGAAAAAACGTGGGAAAATGCCGGGAACATGATGAACTGATCCAAGAAAAATATCCTTTCTGAAACTGATGGGATTTGGAGAAGGATTCCAAAGTGTGTTGTTGTTGTTGTTGGTGGTGGTGGTGGTGTTGTTGTTGTTGTTGTTGTTGTTGTTGTTGGTGTTGGTGTTGGTGTTGGTGTTGGTGTTGGTGTTGGTGTTGTTGTTGTTGTTGTTGTTGTTGTTGTTGTTGTTGTTGTTGTTGTTGTTGTTTTTGCTTTCAACCCCATGTGTTGAGAAAGTTTCTTGTACTCTAGTTGATTAACCAGCCCACTTTGGCATTAAACCGAACCAGTAAACAAATAGCCTTTCACCGGCAACAATGAGTAGAGTATCCGGCATAGTAGACTGGCGCATGTGTTTTTTGTTCACGACTTGGGGCACGTACTAAGCTGCCAATGAAACATCCTTCGCGACCTTTGGATTCGCCTTATGGGATGGAAGATGAACCGTACACCATCTACCATTTGGTAATTCTTCACCTACGGAAAGTAGATGTTGAGAAGAATATATACGCTCAAAATCATTATCTAGAACGAACATGAACTGATTGGGCCATGGCTTCCGTAAGGTATACCCACGGGGTAACCTCACCATGGCCAGTAGCTGGATTCCGTGTCCCAAGGACTACCAAGGAGGCGAGCCGAGGGAAAGGAGAGAGGCACAGCAAGGAGCCGGCCATGGAAAAAGCGTCTGGGACCTGCGATGCCAAGTGGAAGTGGATCCCCCGTTTTGGAGAAACCTTCATTATGTAACTATGTATATTCCCTGGTAGATTAACAGTTCGACTCTGAACATAACTGAATATTTAACGGACACGAATCTTCCAGCCCCTGTTTGCCATTATGTGCAAGGGTCTATGTTCATTTTCTGGAGGATATTTCATATAAAACAAATTCTCTGGCGGTTTCATGTGTGTATATATATATACATACATATATATATATATTGTTGGTAAGCCATAAATTACAGAAATGGAATTATGATCTCCGACGGCCAGCACCCCAGCGAAAATCATATACTGCCGACATGTATGTACAACTGTATGTACTTTAGCATGCTAAGTGGATGTAAGTGTTGTTGGTTGAAAGCTTATTATTCTTTTTTTGTGGAGGGGGGTTCACTTACATATAATGAAATGCACGGTTTTATTATTCACTTAACACTTGCATATACTGACAAGCAAGACCATAAGCGGATATAAGCGGGTCATGAAATATGAGTTGTCGCCATATTTACCAGAATAAACAGCATATCCAAGTTTGGGTCAAGGAGTCAAGGCGTCGTTGGACCACCTTTTTTTTGGATTCGCCCAGGACTTCAAGGCTTCCGAGTTGGAGGGAAACTCCCTTTGGAGTGGCCTGGTTGCGCCAAGTTTGGGAAATCGCCCGGATTCACCCATTTTTACCACCCAAAAAGGTGGTTTAACCATCTAAAACAGAAAAAAACTGGAACCAGGTGGCTTAACATGGCTTGACCATCAAAATCGGAGATTTCACCACCAAAACGTAGGTATTTAACCATCAAACACCGGGGGTTTAACATGATCGAAGGACCCAAACATCTGGTGAAATTACCAGCACGATCCAGCACACATGGGTAAGCCATCGGTCATTGATTGTTTAGTCCTGTAGCCGTTTGCAATATATATAATGTAGGTTACTGATTAGTGTGGGGAGGCCCCCCCCCCCAAACAAATTTGGGGTACAGAATAGTGTGGAAAAAACAAGGTACCGGGTACAGAATACGGTAAAATCAAAAAAAATGATAGATTTAAATTGATTTCAATTTACTTTCAATTGATTTGAATTGATTTTGAATTGATTTCAATTTACTTTCAATTGATTTGAAATTACTTTCAATTGATTTCAATTTACTTTCAATTGATTTGAATTTATTTTGAATTGATTTCAATTTACTTTCAATTGATTTGAATTGATTTTGAATTTATTTCAATTTACTTTCAAATGATTTCAATTTACTTTCAATTGAATTCAAGTTACTTTCAATTCATTTCAAGTTACTTTCAATTGATTTCAATTTGCTTGCAAGTGATTTCAATTTACTTTCAAGTACAAGAAAAAAACAATCACCACAGGAAGCAGCTGGACACAATAGTGTACCCTCAAACAAACCATACTATTGTGTATCATGATCATTCATGTTTTTTTTTGCTTGGCTGAAACTAATCCTTTAGAAAGCCTTTGGTTTTGATTCCAAGAAAAATGAAGCTAAGTAAAAGGAGACAAACTTTAGCAAAGGAAAATGTAAAGGGAATGTTAAAAAACAAAATCACCTCAGGAAGCAGCTGGACACAATAGTGTACCCTCAAACAAACCATACTATTGTGTATCATGATCATATTCATTTCAAGTTGCTTTCAATTGATTTCAATTTACTTGCAATTGATTTCAATTTACTTTCAAGTAAAAGAAAAAAAACAATCACCTCAGGAAGCAGCTGGACACAATAGTGTACCCCCAAACAAACCACACTATTGTGTATCAGGGTTGCTCATGGACTACCCCCTTGAAAAATTGTTTGAGTGATGTTTTTTAATTGGGTTTTAATAAGGCATCATATATTTTGGAAAATTCAGCATTTCTGAGAATTCTAAATAAAAGAAACTAATTGAGAAAATAAAAGAAACAAACTTTAGCAAAGGAAAATGTAAAGGGAATGTAAAAAAAAACAAAATCACCCCAGGAAGCAGCTGGACACAATAGTGTACCCTCAAACAAACCATACTATTGTGTATCATGATCATATTCATTTCAAGTTACTTTCAATTGATTTCAATTTACTTGCAATTGATTTCAATTTACTTTCAAGTAAAAGAAAAAAACAATCACCTCAGGAAGCAGCTGGACACAATAGTGTACCCTCAAACAAACCATAATATTGTGTATCAGGGTTGCTCATGGACTACCCCCTTGAAAAATTGTTTGAGTGATGTTTTTTAATTGGGTTTTAATAAGGCATCATATATTTTGGGAAATTGAGCATTTCTGAGAATTCTAAATCAAAGAAACTAATTGAGAAAATAAAAGAAAAAAACTTTAGCAAAGGAAAATGTAAAGGGAATGTTAAAAAACAAAATCACCTCAGGAAGCAGCTGGACACAATAGTGTACCCTCAAACAAACCATACTATTGTGTATCATGATCATATTCATTTCAAGCTACTTTCAATTGATTTCAATTTACTTGCGATTGATTTCAATTTACTTTCAAGTAAAAGAAAAAAAACAATCACCTCAGGAAGCAGCTGGACACAATAGTGTACCCTCAAACAAACCATACTATTGTGTATCAGGGTTGCTCATGGACTACCCCCTTGAAAAATTGTTTGAGTGATGTTTTTTAATTGGGTTTTAATAAGGCATCATATGTATTTGGAAATTGAGCATTTCTGAGAATTCTAAATAAAAGAAACTAATTGAGAAAATAAAAGAAAAAACTTTAGCAAAGGAAAATGTAAAGGGAATGTAAAAAAAACAAAATCACCTCAGGAAGCAGCTGGACACAATAGTGTACCCTCAAACAAACCATACTATTGTGTATCATGATCATATTCATTTCAAGTTACTTTCAATTGATTTCAATTTACTTGCAAGTGATTTCAATTTACTTTCAAGTAAAAGAAAAAAACAATCACCTCAGGAAGCAGCTGGACACAATAGTGTACCCTCAAACAAACCATACTATTGTGTATCATGATCATTCATGTTTTTTTTGCTTGGCTGAAACTAATCCTTTGGAAAGCCTTTGGTTTTGATTCCAAGAAAAATGAAGCTAAGTAAAAGGAAACAAACTTTAGCAAAGGAAAAGGAAAAGGAAATGGTTGAAAAAAAAACATAACCTCAGGAAGCAGCTGGACACAATAGTGTACCCTCAAACAAACCATACTATTGTGTATCATGATCATTCATGTTTTTTTTTGCTTGGCTGAAACTAATCCTTTGGAAAGCCTTTGGTTTTGATTCCAAGAAAAATGAAGCTAAGTAAAAGGAAACAAACTTTAGCAAAGGAAAAGGAAAAGGAAATGGTTGAAAAAAAAACATAACCTCAGGAAGCAGCTGGACACAATAGTGTACCCTCAAACAAACCAGACTATTGTGTATCAGGGTTGCTCATGGACTACCCCTTGAAAAATTGTTTGAGTGATGTTTTTTAATTGGGTTTTAATAAGGCATCATATATTTTGGGAAATTGAGCATTTCTGAGAATTCTAAATAAAAGAAACTAATTGAGAAAGTAAAGCTTTAGCAAAGGAAATGTAAAGGGAATGTTAAAAAACAAAATCACCTCAGGAAGCAGCTGGACACAATAGTGTACCCTCAAACAAACCATACTATTGTGTATCATGATCATTCATGTTTTTTTTGCTTGGCTGAAACTAATCCTTTGGAAAGCCTTTGCTTTTGATTCCAAGAAAAATGAAGCTAAGTAATTAAAAGGAAACCAACTTTAGCAAAGGAAAAGGTAAAGGGAATGTTTCAAAAAATATCACCTCAGGAAGCAGCTGGACACAATAGTGTACCCTCAAACAAACCAGGCTATTGTGGATCTCGATCATTCAATTGATTTGAAGTTACTTTCAATTGATTTCAATTTACTTTCAATTGATTTCAATTTACTTTCAATTTACTTTGAATTGATTTCAAATTACTTTGAATCTACTTTCAATTAAATTCAATTTACTGCCAATTTACTTTCAATCGACATCCCATAGAAATCCAATAGTAGCCCCAAAGAAATATCATAGAAATCCCATAGAAAGATCATAGAAATAACATGGAAATCCCATGAGAATCTCACAGAAATCCCATAGAAAGATCATAGAAATAACATGGAAATCCCATAAGAATCTCACAGAAATCCCATAGAAAGATATAGAAATAACATGGAAATCCCATAGGAATCTCACAGAAATCCCATAGAAAGATCATAAAAATAACATGGAAATCCCATAGGAATCTCACAGAAATCCCATAGAAAGATCATAGAAATAACATGGAAATCCCATAGGAATCTCACAGAAATCCCATAGAAAGATCATAGAAATAACATGGAAATCCCATGGGAATCTCACAGAAATCCCATAGAAAGATCATAGAAATAACATGGAAATCCCATAGGAATCCCATAGGAATCTCACAGAAATCCCATAGAAAGATCATAGAAATAACATGGAAATCCCATAGGAATCTCACAGAAATCCCATAGAAAGATCATAGGAATAACATGGAAATCCCATAGGAATCTCACAGAAATCCCATAGAAAGATCATAGAAATAACATGCAAATCCCATAGGAATCTCACAGAAATCCCATAGAAAGATCATAGAAATAACATGGAAATCCCATAGGAATCTCACAGAAATCCCATAGAAAGATCATAGAAATAACATGGAAATCCCATAGAATCTCACAGAAATCCCATAGAAAGATCATAGAAATAACATGGAAATCCCATAGGAACCTCACAGAAATCCCATAGAAAGATCATAGAATTAACATGGAAACCCCATAGGAATCTCACAGAAATCCCATAGAAAGATCATAGAAATACCATGGAAATCCATAGGAATCTCACAGAAATCCCATAGAAAGATCATAGAAGTAACATGGAAATCATAAGAATCTCACAGAAATCCCATAGAAAGATCATAGAAATAACATGGAAATCCCATAGGAACCTCACAGAAATCCCATAGAAAGATCATAGAATTAACATGGAAACCCCATAGGAATCTCACAGAAATCCCATAGAAAGATCATAGAAATACCATGGAAATCCCATAGGAATCTCACAGAAATCCCATAGAAAGATCATAGAAATAACATGGAAATCCCATAAGAATCTCACAGAAATCCCATAGAAAGATCATAGAAATAACATGGAAATCCCATAGGAATCTCACAGAAATCCCATAGAAAGATCATAGAAATAACATGGAAATCCCATAAGGATCTCACAGAAATCCCATAGAAAGATCATAGAAATAACATGGAAATCCCATAGGAATCTCACAGAAATCCAAAGAAATATCATAGAAATAACATGGAAATCCCATAGGAATCTCACAGAAATCCCATAGAAAGATCATAGAAATAACATGGAAATCCCATAGGAATCTCACAGAAATCCCATAGAAAAATCATAGAAATAACATGGAAATCCCATAGGAATCTCACAGAAATCCCATAGAAAGATCATAGAAATAACATGGAAATCCCATAAGAATCTCACAGAAATCCCATAGAAAGATCATAGAAATAACATGGAAATCCCATAAGAATCTCACAGAACTCCCATAGAAAGATCATAGAAATAACATGGAAATCCCATAG